TGTCCCCGCATGGGGAACTGGAGCTGACAGAGGGAGCTCATCCATGCTCTCCCTGGATTCAAACCTCCGACCTGTTGGTTTTTGGTCCTTTTGTCACAAGGGTATAACTAATTGCACCACTGCCATGCCATTGGGGCAGTAAATCCACGCAGGATGTATGTATTTTAACTTTAAAGCAGCCATCTGTGGTGTTGAATGTTGGCTCTTAAAATGTTCAGCACCTTGGATAGTTCCTTTTCAATGTAAGACTCAGATTGGCATTGTTGTTCACTTGATACAAAAACCAACACTGATTCCTGCCCTCTTTTGGGCATCTGTTGTTCTATTGCAGAGCTGAAGATAGTGGAGAACGTTTTTAGTTGGACAGCTTAAGGTTGGCCATCACGTCAGTGGTCATTGTTTTTAGATCAGATCACTTTTAGTAGTACAGACCTAAAAGCTGCAAGTTGTATTCAGTTCGAGTAATGCCTCATTTAGGACAAAGGGGCTTACTTCTGAAAAATTAGCTTTCTATGCTAGCTCTTGAAGATTCTACTACAGTTTCTACCTTACAAGATGTTGTTGTTGTTGTTGTTGTTGTTGTTGTTATGTGCCTTCAAATCATTTCAGACTTGTGGCTACCCCAAGACAACTCTATCAAGGGATTTTCCTGGCAAGATTTGTTCAGAGGGGGCTTGCCATTGCTTGTGTCTGAGGCTGAAAGAATGTGACTTGCACAAGGGTCATGCAATGTGTTTCTGAGGCAAAACAGAAACATGACCTCTGGTCTTCTGGAGTCCCGGTCCAGTGCTCAAACCCCTACAGCAGTGGTTCCCAACCTTTTTTTGACCAGGGATCACTCTCCAACATTAGTACTGAAAGGGTTACAAATCAGTTTTTGGTCAACTTTAGATTTGGTTTGGTTATTTGGGGTGTTGATTTAGAAAATTGCATTGGATAGACCATATCAGCTCTAGATTCTGATACAGAACATATGCCATCCAGTAGTCACCATTGCTTACCCACAGAAAACCATATTTAATATTCTAGAGCTGATGTGGTAGTAGTAATCTTTTGGGTAGTCAGCCTCTCCCCTCCTGACATCCCCGTTGCCTCGGTACTATAAGAGAGTTTTGCGAGACCAGTAGCTCTTGTTGCCACATGATTATTAAACAACCGTGTAGTAATGGTGAGGCTGCGGACCATATTTTCGTTCTTGCAGATCACTGGTGGTCCACAGACCACAGGTTGGAAACCACTGCATTAAAGCATAATGGCTTGACTATTTTGAGATATATGGATGTTAATATACAAATATGTTAAATTTCATAGTTTTCTTGCCACTTTGAAGAACATGAGTTCTGCAAAGTTGTTGTCTGGTATTCACTCATCCTGATATGTTTGGGGAAATTCCTCTGTTAAGAACTACATGAAGGAGGTTTTTCTTTGCTTGAGAATTGTTCACTTTCATGGCAAAAACATGATTCCCCAGTAACTATGTATTTTGTGTGTGTGAAAGATTGCTATTTCCCATGCAAATCCCACTAATATGAATAATAATCCAGTACAGACAAAGATCTTTTTCAGGAAAATCACATACAGAAATATTTCACAAAAACTGGAATTTTGCACAAAAATAGACACCATTTTTTGTTATGAAATATTTCTTATGTACTATTTTTGTTTCATTATGTATTCACAGTATCCCTGTATGTGTGTATTTCTGTGCAGAATAATTTATTGATACACTTTGTGATGTGTGAATATAAGGTAATGATAAATACTTCCTGGCATGTTTCCTGAGCATCAGAGGAAACCAATTTTCCAGCCAAAAATAATTGCAAATATTGTTTCAATCCCTGATGATATGGTTATTATTTTATGGCTCCTATTTTGACTGATTCTGTTGAAATATCTGATTTGACATTTTGTTTCCCATCATCTTCATAAGATTTTACATTCATGTTTGAGGTATGATTGGCTGAACCAATCTATATACCTATTTTTGAAATAAGTTCTCTCTTTTTTACAAGATGTATGTGAAGGAACTTTGCAAAACCATCAGGATATCTGGGCTGGGGGGTGGGGGGTGGGGGTGGGGGGAGAGAACTAAAGCAAGTTTTTGAGGAAGTTCAGAAATCTAGAATTGAAATAACTGTTTTCATGTTAATAAATCAAATTTAAATATTCCATTACTTGGTTTTGTACACATATTTGAATTCACATAATATGAATTAATGATAGCTCTTTACTTGAACATTAAGAGCAAATATTTCTATTAGAGAATGGTAGGGCCTGAAGAGGCTTTGAGTTCTGCAAAGAAAATACGGATCTTTGTTCTGGATCTGCAGACAGATTGAGTAATTAATCTATATTACCCTGCTGCTGTCATCACCAATTACAAAGGGAAAGATCTGGCTTTTACAATTAGCCCCTCCAATATATGGTTATGCATATGTAATGACACTGCTTTCCAAATGGTCCTTCATATCTACAGATTCAACCATTCTTAACTTTTAAAATATTTTTTTAAATCCCCATAAGCAAACTTTGATTTTGCTATTGTAGGTATGGGATATTGTAGGTATGTGTAGGTAGGTATGGGATTTTATTATGCCATTGTATATAATGGAACTAGGACATCCCCGGGTTTTAATATCCATGGGTGCCCTGGAATCCACTTCCAGTGAGTACATAGGGTACACTGTATACAGTATTCCAATATTTCTTGGGCAGAGAAGGGAGAGCATTTAGACACATCAGGGGAAGAGTTCAACTATGAGCTATTTTCTTTTGCAAACTCTTTTAAAAAAAAATCAAAATAGAAAGCTATTAGTGCTTACTAAGGCCAACTATATTTTACTAAGTATATATCCTTGGCTCCTGTAGACATTCCAGAGACTCCTGTGAGTCTTGGTTATGAATTAGGATAGTTAACACATATGCTGTGTCCCACCACACTCGCAGGTTCGTAACTAGAAACATTTTTTTAGTGTATTATGAAGAGTAGGTCCATAACACAAAATAATTTACATTCTATGACTCATTCTATATTTTATATATAATTAATTTTATATTAACTGCAGAGGTTCAAGTCAGGAAAACCCCCCGACTATCACAGAGAATATATGTTTCCACTGCCTTAGTTTTTCTGAAGGTGTAATCCTTTCCTGTTTTCTACACCACAGGTCAAACTCTTCCATCAGTTATCAGTATCTTGAAAGCATTCATTGTAAAGCCCTGAGCACTTGTTCAAGTTGGATTTTAAATGGCCACAATTAATTGGCAGGAACACTTGCAGTTCCTGAACTACTTCCCCAACGCTTCTAAACCTTCCTTGAAGCTGACTGCAGAAAAAGTTCAGAAATGGGATGTACACATTTAGTCTATAATATTCCATTGGTGTTGGTGAAGTTGACTGGATGTTGCTTTTACAAGTCTGCCTTAAACAGATTTGAGGAATTCTAACTTCTCCATCCCCAGACACCATCACTGACCTTGTTGTGTCAAAAATCTCCTGAAATTCTTTCACAGATTCTATGCGCTTCTATTTGGCTTTTTCTGTCAACATATTACAGGCTACCAAAAATGTCCCCATCTACTATTTTTTTTGCTAAACTGAAGGGATTCTTACAGAAGCTTTCTTAGGATGTGTATGGTTACTACAAAGTCAGCATTCAGAAAAGTTAAAAGAAGTTGTCTAGCTTGGGAAGAAGTCTCATTGTTGTATAGAGGGCCCTCTTTTAGTTCTTCAAGTGTTCTTACCACCACACTGTACAGTTCAACAAAATGTAAAACTGCATCATGTTGCTCAACCCAGCAGGTTTCACAAAGTGACAACAGGTTGTTTGCTCTTGATTCAAGGAAACAGTCTTGTTTTCTTCTTCAGCAGTTCCAGTCTGATGGATGATGCTCTGAAGAAATGGTGTAATGCTGTAAATCTTTACTAAGGCTAGATTTAGTGAGTGAGTGCTGCAGTGGATGTAGACAGCCATTGGATCCTTCTGTGGTCTAATTGCCTGTGCACCACTAATATGACCACTCATATCAGTAGCTCCATCGTAACCCAGTCCACACAAGTGTTGCAAGTTCAGTTCAATTTTTCCAGTGTGTTTAAAATAATGCCTGGAAGTCCTCCACCTGTCATATCACTTATCTTCACAAAGCCTGTAAAGTCTTCTCTTATTCCTGCAGCTTAAACATCAACATGCCTTACTGAGAGGGATAACTGTTCTGAGGTCCTCACATCCAACGTTTCATCTGCCAGAACAGAGAAATACTGTGATTCATTTAATCTTTCAACACTTTTTTGACTATCTTGTCACCACAAATATCTATTAGTTCATTGTTTATTAAAGACTTCTATTATATCTTTCCATTGCACAAATGCTTTAGCAACCAATGTACCAAGTTTCTGATTATCACCTTTAGCCTCAACTTCTCATCCAAATGCAACACACTATTTACAGAGTGCACTTTGTAGATGAAATGAGTGGCTAACCAGGGAACTCTGTTGAACCATTTGGGTTGAAAACCTAGATGCCTCTACTTACCCTCAGAAAATACATAGAGTCTGTGTATTTTGCACTTAGTGAGCTTTCCTTTGGTCATCAGAAACAGTCTTGATCATATAAAGTCAAATGTCTAACAATGACACCATTTCTTGTCTTTGTTCCTGTTCCATGGTTTCTTTGGTAGGACTTGGATTAGATGACACAGTGGTGGAAACACCTCAGTTTCCATAGTTTCCTCAGTTTTCACTTTCAACCTAGGTGTGCATGTTCTGGGGTCTTCCTTAGTACCTACTGCTGCAATGGTTCTCAACCTGCTGCCTTCTTGATCTTCAATCTTTGGTTTTTCTTTTTTGACCATGAACTCAAAAATGTTCAATTTCTTTGATAGACCTTTAGGTATCTTCTCATGTCAAGTGGATGACAGGAAACACTAACAGTAACTAACAGGGCTTTACGTATCAAAAGAGCAACTCATAGCTGCTTTCATGGCTTCCTTTTATACCCCAGGGGGAGGAGCAAGAAGGCCGATGTAAGAGAGAGCTCTGAAATGGGAAAGAACAAGAGAGCAGTGACATGACTACTTTCAGGTATTTTTAATAATATTTCAGATTATTAAAGATTATTACATGGGTAAAAACAAATGAAACTACATAATAAAATCTATAACTGGGTTCAAATTTCACAAAACTGTTGACTAGAATCAGAGATACAGCATTTTAAAAGATTTCTTATACATATATTTTTTACTTTAAACTGGAATATTTAAAAATCAAAATCTATGACCCACACATATTATTACATTTTTTAAAACTACATAACATATATTTAATCTGATACCTACTTATTCAAAAATACTTGATAGTTTAGGAGAAATTAAAGTATAAGCTGTTAAAGCAAGCACAAATTATTATTGTTTTTATAAATTGTATTTAATTTATAAGAAATTATTGTTGTTGTATTGCATTTAAATTTAAGTTTTTCTTATGGGGTTAACCTAGGGAGTCTGATTCTGATATCAATTTCAGTGGATTATGTCATCTTCATGTCAAAAATGTTGATCAAACATCCACAACTTCAAAAATAGGTCACTTCTATTATCTCTGCTATTGTTGCTAAAGCAATGTAAATTGGTGGAAAGGTAGATAATGATAATGTGAATAAATTATCAAAATTTGGTTGAGATACTGCTTGCAATTCTCTAGGAATTCTATTTTTTGCTTCTCTTAGCCTTAGCATGAGGATTTGGTTAACCAGTTAAAAGTCATGAGTAAACTGGGAGTAGAGGAATTAACCTGAAAAATTTTGGGAGGGGGCAGTCGAACCCATAACCTCCTCACCTCCCTGGCTATCGGCTTGCCAACCCATTTGCGTCTACCTATAATCTAGATTAAGTTTTAACTTTGTTTTCCTCCTGGCAGTTTGCCTTTTCCATATTCTTAATGAAACTGTTTTGCATTCTCAACTGTACAAGTTTCAGTCATCTTTGTATTTCTCAAACCCGGCATTTTAGTTCTTACCACATGTTAAAGATCAAAATATCTGGATGGGATTGAAGGAGACATTATCACGTTGTTTTCTCTTGTCTGCCTCATACACAGATGTGCATCCCCTTCACCTCACTTCCAGGGCTGTCAGTTGTAAAAAACCTTAAAGTCAGGTTGTTTACTTAGCCCAGAATTGAGAGCCAAATTGTACATGATATTATTCATGCTTTTAACCCGATAACAAGTATTTGTAGGGGTAAAGTAATCATGGGCTAGATTTATGCTGGAAGCACATATCAGACTGGGGTTCTGGGGTTGCTTTTGTTGTAAGTCAACCTCACACTGCTCAAGTCTGCAGTCCTCAATAAGGAACAATTAGATATCTTTAGGCTAGGCTGAGGGAATCCCCCCCCCTCCGCTCCTGAATGTCTGTTAATGTATCTATCATTCTCTCTCTCTCTCTTACTCTTCCCACTTTCTAACTGAAACCTTGTGTTCTTTCTTCTGCTTTTTCCATCTTTGCATGCAGACCTCTCTCTATTCTTTGTGTTTGAAGAAATGTAGCATTAGGAGGTTTTTTCCCTCCTATTAAAAATTTAAAAATAATGGAGTTAGAGAGATGCTTAGACCCAATTCTTTTCTATCAAGAAATGTAGTTCTTATTTTTTTAAGTAAACCTTTTGAAACTTTAAGGATTGAACTCTGCATCTTTGCCTCCTAAGCTCAATAATTCTTTTGCAGTCACAACACTTAACCTTCTAATTACTGTGAGCTGACTGCTCAATTAAAAGTATCCTGTTTGTATTTTTGGATGCTATGCTATTTGGGGAGAATTCCCTAACAGCTTTTTCATCTAAATAAAAGTTTCAAATTACTCATTTCCTCCAATGCACTGAGATGCCAAGGATTGGACCTGGCATTTTTTGTCGTCAGAACACAGGCTCTGCAAATGAATGATATAGCATGGCTCTTCCCCTAAGAGAATAGTGGACAGACCAAGATTATAGGTTTGCTTTTTTTAACTTGAATGCCCTGCCCCACTGTAATAGATCCCTTTACTCAGCTTTGTCCCAAAACTCCAACTCTTGGGAATGTTACCACTTACTCTGTCCTTTTTCTCCTATCTACTCCCTCACTGGATTGAATTATTGGCTTTCAGGATGATTCCTTCAATATGGGTTTCTTGTTTGTATTATATATGTTCTTTAGTTTTTGGTATGCCTGGCCCAACTCCAGTTCTGGCTTGACAGCCATCTGGAGACAGGTTTAAAACATCAACAAGAATAGGTCTATGGAATACACTGGGCCTTGAAGCCAAGTCTGCCTACTGCCTCTTGTATATGCACCAGCTGGAGTCACATGCAAATATGACAAAAAGAGATTATATACTTAGAATTAGGAAACTATCCACATTTTTTCTATTCAGTATTAGAGCCGAGTTAACATTCTCTCTCATTAAAAAAACACACCTGGTTTTCTTCTACCACACAGCCCAAGCATGAACACTATAGGGCTCTGCAATCTACAACCTTCCCAATGTTTTGGATTATGGTATCCATAATCTCTGACTGCTGGCCATGCTGGTGAGGGCAGTTGAGAGGTGTAATCCAAAATGGAAAGTGGTGCGCTCTCTTTTGACTTAATTATGCTGGAGAAAAAATCAGCCTCACTAAACTACAAACCCCAGAATTCTGAAGGAGGCAGAAACCAGATTCTAAGTGGATTTTTTTTCTAAAGTAGTTTCATTACAGCTTTTAAATTGAGGTTGGATGGCCATTATGGATGTAAAATTTCTGGAAATTTGAAACCATGGGGCACTGTGGAGAGAAACTGAAAAACTTTTGATGATGAGGGAATAGAAGTGTTCAGAAAAACCATAAAACTAGGTTAGGATCCTTTACAAATTGAAAATAACGTTGTTATTTTAGGATCATGAAATTTATTATATACTGGATATATACTGGATATGATGCAATTGTATCATTATGTCTGGCAAGACATTTTATTTCGGATATTAAGAGTTTGGATCCATCAAACAACTGTTACAAACTAATTTCCCTTTTAAAAATTCATTTTTATGGAGCTACTAAATGTTGATCTGTAGGCAGTCTCCTTGGTTTATTAGGTATAATAAAATTTGTTAGGTATAATAAAAAAGATTCAATAAAAACAAAATAACATCTACATTAGTCAAGCAGACAAAATTGTTTTGTTTCCTCTAAGCTTCCATAAGAGTCATTCCCATAAAAAAGAACTGAGTTAAAGATAACAAGGCTAGGGTTTGCAACAATCATATACTGTATGTTGTTGTTTTCTTCTCTCTCTTTGCAACCACTTTATTTATACTCCAACTTTCCAGCAAAATTGGCACTAAAAGTATGATACAGTATTTAGAAATAACTTGTGAGGACCTAAATTTAACCACATTCTAAAATATTTATTGGGGGGACATTTTTTCTCTTGAATGTTTCTATCCTCCCTTCTCTCCTGCTTTGTAGATCTTTCAGGGATACTTTGGCCATGGATTTATGCACTGGAAGATAATTCGAGCGCTCTCTTCCAATTCTGTGAATTTATGATATACCCTTCAAACACATAGCCAGAATTCTTCCAGTACAAATGCAATCTAGCTACTGCCTTCAGTTGTTTTGCTTACAATTCCCATAATTTCTGACCAATGGTCATGATGACAAGATATGATATACGGTGATGTCCAGATTACCCATCCATGTACTACCGAAAGGTACGTTCTGCCAACTCAGGTCTGAAAGCCTTTTGGTATTAGGGTTCTTGTACATCATGCAAAGTTTTGAAGCAGAAGATATATATTCAGGATATCTGAATATAACCCTGTTGGCACAGCAGGTTAAACCACTGAGCTGCTGAACTTGCTGACCGAAAGGTCGGCGGTTTGAATCCAGGAGCAGGTGAGCTCCTGCTGTTAGCCCCATCTTCTGCCAACCTAGCATTTTGAAAACATGTAAATGTGAGTAGATCAATAGGTACCGCCTTGGTAGGAAGGTAACTGCTCCATGCAGTCATGCTGGCCACATGACCTTAGAGGTGTCTATGGACAACGCCAGCTCTTCAGCTTAGAAATGGAGATGAGCACTGTCCCCAGGGTCAGACACAATTAGACTTAATGTCAAGGGGAAAACTTTCCTTTACTATATTCAAGAATTCGGGGTCTTATAGAAACTGAAATGTGAGTATAGAAAAACCTGTGCCTTGGATTTCAGAAAAGCTGAATTCAATAAATTCAGGATGCATCCCAAAAGTCATTGTCAAGAAGTTCATTCTAGTGTTCCATTAAAATCTACCTCCCTGTAACTTAAAACTGTTAGATCTAGTTCTACCATCTGAGAGCACATTTTCACTGTATAATTAATGCAGTTTGCTACGACTTTAACTGCCATAGGCCGATGTTATGAAATCATGGTGTCTTTACTGTTCTCTGCTCAAGAGTGGGTAATACCTCACTAAACGGCAAGTCCCAGGATTCCAACATATGGAGCCATGGCAGTGAAAGTGGTGTCAAACTGCAGTATCTCTACTCTGTAAGTGCACCTTGGGACAACTGTGGCATTCGTTGAGCATGTAAAGAGAACAATCATATCCTTCAGTCTTCTCTTCTCTGAGCTAAACATTTCCAACTCCTTCAACCAGTCCTCATATGTGCTGTTTTCCATACCTGTTTTCATCTTTGTTGCCCTTCTATGAACGTACTCTAAACTTGTCTATATTTTCCTTCAAATGAGATGCCCAGAATGGAACATACTTCAAGTAATTTCCTCATCTATACATCTATTAAAGACACAAGACTCCTAATTTATATATACAATAAACAAGTTGTCAGTAAAGAAGGCAGCTGTCACCTTTGACTTGTTGCTTATTTCCATTTCTCCATCATGTTTCTCCTTTAGGCATTCATATTTACTGTGCTAAAGCACCAAGAATTGTGTTCCATGGGAGTAAAATGGTGACTCTACTTGTTCTTGTCTAAAGTAATGTTCTTGACTTAACATTGTTATGTTATTTTGTTTTTTTTAGTTTTATGGGGGTGGGCAAATACTTGAAGAAGAAAGTTGAGAGAAATTCTAAAGTTCAATTATTTGGGAAGCTCTAGCAGGGGAGCGCAGCTATCGTATACCCGGGACCAAAAACTGGAGACTTTGGTACACTCCTTCTATATCTGGGATGTCGTCCCCTTCCACCGAGCATGCAGCTTTGGGAGGGATGCACATGAAGTGGTGAGGGAGGAAGGGGATACTTTCCTAGCCAGCCAGATCAGCCGAATCAACCCTGGCGACCAATGGGGTGACAGATGTCGCATCCAGATTGCCCTCACATCCTTCTAATTTATTTTTAAAATTTCTTTACTGTCTGAAGTGGGTTATTGTAGGTAGAGGAATAATAATAATAATAATAATAACAACAACAACAACAACACTTTATTTATATTCCGTCCTTCTCACCTCAAAGGAGACTTAGGGCGGATCACAGTACACATACATGGCAAACATTCAATGCTGCTTAGTATAGACAATACACAGCCAGACAGAACAGAAGGAGGTGCCATGGAAGATTGGGCTCAAGTCCTGGGGGTGCTGTTGCTCTATCCTCAAGGACGAAGAGCTGTTAGGACTTTCTCTTTCATTTTGGTTGCCCAGCATTTTCTTATTTTCTTTCTTTATGGTGTCATAAAACACCTCCCCCACTTTTAGCAGTAACTAATTTCTCTAATCACAACTAAAGCTGTTTTTGAATTGCTTAGGCAAACAATGAGCTAGGATGACAGTTGGCAGCTCACGCCAACCTGAGGCTTCAAACTTGCAACCTTTTGGTTGATAGATCTTATAATTGATGATGATTTACCAGCTCTGCTAAACTTCTGGGTTTTTTTTTTTGTATTGAAGAGATGGCTTCCGTTTGGTTGGGGAGAAATGAGATTGTTGGAAAGGAGGCCTAGATAAAAATCAGCAAATTCATAGATTAAGATTTTATAGTAGAACTGGAAAATAAAATAGTTCCTGGGTTGTTATTATTATTCTTTTTAAAAAGTGACAGGGTAAAGAAGAGTTGCTAGTGTGGTTGATTAAAGTTGGAGGAATCAGCATTGAGTATAGAGGAGGGGAAGAATTAAAAACACAAAAACACAATTATTTGGGAAGCATCTATATGGGTCATTTATTTGTATTCATTGCAGAATGAGAGTTAAAAGTCTTCTTTTGGTCTTTTTGCATCTCAGCTGAGGATTTCATTCTACTTGATTGTTTTATTCAATAGTTCTCAAAGGACCTTGCTGGAATAGTACATACTGTACCCAGAACATGAACATTGGAGACATTAATGCTCTTCTCTCAGCACAATCCATTTTTGACTAGCACGTCTGGTCATATATATTGATTTTGACACTGCTGCCATTATCCTTAATCTTGTTATGTTCTTTATTATGTGCACTCACAATCCCAAAAATGGATGACTGATGCAAGCAGCCTGTTGACTCAGTGCAGTAAGTAAATGGTTAAGGCAAAGAGTTAGCAGGTGGCTTGATATATAGAATCATAGAAGCATAGAGTTGGAAGAGACCTCATGGGTCATTCAGTCCAACCCCCTGCCAAGAAGCAGGAAAATTTCATTCAAAGCATATGGATCACTCAAGAGATGCCTTCCCAGCAAGGTGTTGTAAGGTTAAAATTGCAACTTTCAGAGCAAAAGATTTTGAATGGGCAAGACCCCAATCATTACATAAGCTGAGAACTAGAGAACTGGGGTCCTGTCACATTCCACAGTTATAGCAGCGCTATTATTGCACTTTAACTGCCAGGACAACATCCTAAGAATCATGGGATTTGAAGTTTAAGAAGGTGCATTTAGAATTCACAGCCAGAGAGCTCTTATGCCTCACCAGACTACAAATTCTTTGATTCCATGAGACGTAGATGTGGAAAATGGGGTGGTGTCATAGTGTTATCATGGGGTAGAATGAAAGGCCTTGGGTGTTCTGCTAGGGGAAATGGTTGAGTGTAGAGCTCGTCTCCTTCAGAACTGATTCCCAAATAGGATCAAAGAGGCATCCTAGTGTGATCAGAGGCTCTAGTATCAGGAATTTTTGTTTCCATGGTTGCTTGTCAGTTTTAAATGTGCTTATGCATGTCTTATAATTTCTAGCAGAACCCAGAGAAGAAAGATGATTATTTCTCAGTGTGATGTAACTTTCTTCCTTTAGAATAAAAGCTTCCTTACTACAACCTACTGTGTCATCCCTCACACATACTCTCCTGTTGGGACACAAGATTCTCTTTTCTCAAATAGAAAGATGGGAAGTCTCTGGAATGAGCAAGTTCACATCATAGTTACTTATAACTATTACTGTCAGAAACGAACGAAGTATAGATTACAAAAAAATCCATTATATATGTATGCAATAACAGAAATATATCATAAGTTTCTTCCATAAAGAATCTAATGACACCCGATACTACTGGTGTAACTATTAAGAAGTTTGAACAAGGTGGTTCCTAGCATAATAAGTTAGAATGTGAAACTTTGACATCTTAAAAGCAATTATGTTACTAAGATCTGAATATCAGTTAAAAATATCACGTTTAACTAGAGATGGAAAGAATATTGGTGAAATGGGTGAAAAACATGTTTTTGTGTTTTGAGAAAGAATGATGAAAAGAATTCTGGCCTGATGACAATTTTCACAATTTGGACTTATTCTGTGCAAAATATGCACCTGGTCATTTTGTGCTGAAATTAGCATTTTGTGCTTATGAAGCTGTATTTTCTGCTTAGAAAATAATATTTCAATCCAAAAAGATAAACTCTTGTGCAGAAAATACTGATTTCTATGCACATCAACTATATGCAACTTTTATGTTGAATAAATCCACCGTTACAGCATTTTCTTTGGTGGAATCAGCATTTTCTGTGCAGGAATTAATATCGATAAATGGAAATATTTTCCACACTTAAAAGGCCGTTTCTTGTGCAGAAAATCTGATTCCTGCAGAAAACAACAGAATAAGTTCCACGTTGCAAGTAGTGGGAAGAAAATTGCTGAAATTACTTATTGCTGCTTGCAAGAAGAAATTTCTCAAAGAATTACATCCTACTAAGTGCTGCTAAAAGTGGTAAAATATATAAGAGATTGATGCCTTGGTAGTACAGGTGATAGAGATGCTTATGTTCAGTTGTTCACCAATGCCTGATAGACAGGTTTTACTTATTATTTATCTGCAGAAGGGAAAGAGGAGGGAGACATGAGGAAACGCCCAGTAGGCACCCATTTCTGTCCACTAACCAAGGGGTCCCAAGGTGTAGACTTGGTGGCACCAATAGCCCTCTATGTGTATAGCTTGTGAGGGCTCCTTTCCTATTCAAATCTTTAGGCAATGGTAAATCTGTACAGAAGTGATATATTATGACTGTAGTATGAGATATGGTATGCTGAAATATCCAGGGATCTCATGTCTTCTCACAGTAAACAAATGCCAGGAAGAATGTGATAGCGAGAACTTCATTTCTTCATAATAGTGTCTGTATGTGTACACATAAAGAGATGGTGATTGCACATTGAGCATGTAAGGTTAGAAAGGGGAAGAGGAGATTAACAAATGGTACATAAATAATCAGTGTTAGTATGAAGGGATGCCAAAGGGCAAAGAGAAACTAATTTCTCTAAAGAATAAATGTTTCAGTTTGCATCTCTTGCATTCTTATAAATGATGCCACATAAGGTATAGTTAAAGAAGCTATTGTTGGCTTGATCAGCTACTTTACCTTCTGTGATTGGTCATATTTTGTCCTACTGTAATATTTTGTTTGCATTTTGCATAAAATCAAACACCCTTTCCCCTGGAAGCATGAACTTAAAAATGTATTTGGACAATATATTTGACACCAATATGGGTGATGAATACCAAAGCAAAATATCATTTCCCATTCAGTGCCAGAGCAATGCAATGTACACCAAACTTGAATTGTGAATTCAAGCCATAACTGATTGTCCATATGGAATTATTAGCCCTGTCAAATGAATGGTACACATTAACCTGTTTAGCCCCGTGAATGACAAATATTATGTAGCAGAATGCCAAATTTAGATGTTCCAATTTTCAGTTGTCATTTTAGGGCATGAGGATGCAAATGTTCTTGAACACAACAATTGTGTAAGAGGGATTCCATTTTTTTCCTTTCAAAATATGTCATCCATCATTCAGTGCTTGAATATGCAGTAAATGCTGTAATTTATTTTGCTCAACAGATAACAGAAGATGTCTCAGTAAGTGCAACAGAACTCCAATCAGCTTCTTAAGTATTTATCAAAGGATCCATCACAGAGAACAGAAAGAAGTAACTTATCATGCTCTGAACTGAAGGACAATCTGCCCTCTTGTGTCTCGGTATTTTAACTTGTGGTGGTAAAACAAGTTCTTGCCTTTCTGTCTTTTCTAACAAGTGCATTATGTAGAACTGAACGTGTTTGTGTCACCAAGAGAAAATGAAATGCAATATTGTGAGCAAGATCCAAACTGGGAAAGTGGGGTTTAACTGTTTGAACAATGTTCTTGCCTTCATAAAACCTCTCATGCAAGCTTCAGTGACTAGAAATTAAACATACATTGAGCTGCTAATAAACCTACCAAATGTGTCAACTGTAAAACATCCCATCTGTTTTCTTTTGCACCAGCTTATTTTGGGCTGTAACAAGAAATTAATAATTGTTCTCTGTTCTGTTTTTAATAACACACTCCGCCCCCGCCCCCCTGGTTACATGTGTGTTGTTTTTAAAATGGTACCTTGCTTGTTTTAGTCTTTGTATACAAAGAAATATTAATTATTTAAATGATTCCCCAAATATCTTTGAAAAACTTCAAAAGGTGTGCCTTGTTTGCAGCATTGATTTAAATATGGAAAATATTTAAAGTTCCCAATTTTTTTTTGGTCTTGGAAGCCTTCAGAAAATATTTATTTTTTTTTTAGTTCTAAGACTCACATTAATTTTAGTGCCAACAATAGGGAAAAAAGCTCTCTCTCTCTCTCTCTCTCTCTCTCTCTCTCTCTCTCTATATATATATATATATATATAACCTGGGATTCTAGAATGCTCCCAGTTTGGCATTATTTTACACTAATAATTATTCATCTCCAAATTTCCTCTCTAATCTAGTTGTAAATTTAATTCTGATATTTTGTGAACAATATCTCAAATGTCTTTTATCTCAACAACTGCGCAAGGAAGAAAAAAATACAAAAAAATGGAATTGATCTGAAAAATCAACGTGTGACTCATTATTGTAAGAGGTTGAAACATGTAGCCAGTAGCTACCTCCCTGAGAGAAATAGTTGTAGCACAAAATAGCTGTGATGGCAACTGTGAATAAAGAGTTGGCCTCATGTGGTTTTATTTTTTTTAAATCATCTTAAATTTTGATACTTTAAGAGTATCTGTAGAACCTCTAAGATGCTTTTGTGGAATCCTAGGTTTCCACAGAGCACATTTTGGGAATTGTTGTTATAAAGCATATATAAAAAGCTAGGTATAGCTTCAATCAGTTGTTTCTTGGAAATAGGTATTTTCCCTTTTGAAGGATATCATCAGAGTGGTCCTGCAAAAAAGTTAGCTCCACTGAATTCAATGGAACTTATTCTCAGAGAATCAGCATGGAATTGCAGCCATGTTTCTTTAATTACCCCTATATTACTGTATAATACTGCAATAAGCAGTATTCTAAATGGGCTGATTAACAGTCACAGGCTAATCAGCAAGCTGGAAAAGATCAAGTGTATGTGATTGCATCAGAGCCCAAGTCTCATGAGCTGCTTTGGAGGGTCATAGGGAGCCTGACGTTGCAGTAGCGATAAGGGAGTTTCACGGCAATTATGGAATGTTGTCAGTGTGTACATAAAGCCATAGTCAATTGAGCTGTGCTCCAATCTAGGATCTCATCACATGAATGCAGGGAAAGCTGAGGGAACCATCGTCTTTCATTCCCTACCATCAGTGTCTTCAGGGATGGCAGCCACCCCACATGCTTTCCCCAGTTCTATCAGGCCTCTCCCTACCTTCCTTCTGAAAGCACAGTCTTCCATCTGTTTCTCAGCACTGCTACAATGGAGTCCCATGGCCAACCACCAGAAGTGGCCTTGTGTCAAATGATGGTCTCCATGGGGCTCTGTTTTGGCAGCACAGAGAAACAGAGATAAGACAGAGATTAGCCACTCTCTTGAAATCGGTAGAGTGGCTAAAAGGAATAGTAACAACAACAGCAACAGCAACAGCAACAACAATGAGAATTACTTGTTTAGTTTTAGCATTAGGTATTCAAAAAGTTTTTCAGATTACAGCCCTAAACATCGTATTGTCCTTGGTTGCTTCCAGGCAGCACTATATACTACCAAACATGAGGCATTGTGCAACTCTTCTGTCCTTTTTTGTGCTTCATGTTTTCTGTGTTAAGAAAAGAGATTGAAGAAGTGGTGAGGAAATCTGGGAGCATTAGAAGTGGCAAGTTCTTGGTGGTATGGGGATATCATGTCACCTTGTCTGTCTCTCAAGGAATCTGTATAATGGTCAAGTAGCAAAGGTAGGAACAGGCTATGAAACAACAGACTGGTTCAAGATTGGGAAAGGAGTGTGGCACAGTTGTATACTCTCACCTACCTATTCAACTTGCATCATTTGATTTGCAGGGCTTGTTGAATCCAAGATTGGAGTTAAACTTGCTGGAAGAAACATTAACAATCTTATATATGCTTACAGCACCCGGTATTCCAGGCGGTCTCCCATCGAAGTACTAACCAGGCCCGACCCTGCTTAGCTTTCAAGATCAGATGAGATCGGGCATCTTCAGGGTGGTATGGTCATAGGCATCTTAGATATGCAGATGATACCACTTTGATGGCTGAAAGTGAGGAGGAGCTAAGGAGCTTATAAGAAGAAAGTGCAAGGTGAAAAAAGAAAGTGCAAAAGCTGGGTTGCAGTTAAACATTAAAAAAACCAAGATTATGGCAACCAGACTGATTGATAACTGGCAAACAGAGGGAGAAAACATGGAGGCAGTGACAGACTTTATATTTCTAGTCATGAAATTACTGCAGATGTGAACTGCAGCCAGGAAATCAGATGTTTACTTCTTGGGAGGAGAGCAATGACGAATCTCGATGAAATAGTTAGGAGCAGAAATACCACATTAGCACAGGTCTGCATAGTTAAAGCAGTGGTGTTCCCCATAGTAACCTATAAATGCGAGAGCTGGACCATAAGGAAGGCTGAGCAAAGGAAGATAGATACTTTTCAACTGTGGCATTGGAGGAAAATTCTAAGAGTGCCTCGGACCACAAGAAGATCAAACCAGTCTGTACTCCAGGAAATAATGCCCAACTGCTCATTGAAGTAAAGGAGATTAAAGGCAAAAATGAAGTATTTTGGTCACATAATGAGAAGACGGGAAAGCTTGGAGAAGATAATGATGCTGGGAAAAATGGAAGGAAAAAGGAAGAGGGGCCGACCAAGGGCAAGATGAAATGACTGGCTTGACCTTGAAGGAGCTGGGAGTGGCAACACTCGACAGGGAGCTCTGGCATGGGCTGGTCCATGAGGTCACAAAAAGTTGGAAGCAACTGAACGAATAAACAAGAAGAGGTGGAAGGAGAGCCCTTCCACTTTCTAAATTCAGTGAATGAAGATGAGGTTTGCATAATAGAAATTGCTTCTGAAATACCCATTAATGCAGAGCCAGGAAGACTAAATTACAGTCTGAAGTAATAAGAAGTGTGTATTTCACAACCAGAGTAACATTATTTTCTTCATTACTTTGTCTAAAGAAGCCATAATGTCTATTTAAGCACCTGGTATTGTATTACTGAGACATATCCCTTGTTTAACCATTGCCTTTTTTGTCTGTGCTTTTGCAAATTATATTTTGTTTTTCCAAACAATTTACCATAGCTCCATTCATTTAGTGGTTGTAGTGTTATGCTCTATCTTGACCTCATAGGTAGAGAAGTCAGGATTGCTTTAGCGCATAGTGTGTAGGAGGGAAGGCTTTAAAAGGCACAGTCTCGTGCACTGAGACAGACACATTCTGCTTATAGTACTGGGCAATATCATCTTCAAAAGAGGAAAGAACCAGACAAGAGAAAATTTGTAACTAACGAAACTTTGGGGGGGGGGGGGAGTGTAGAAGCATCACAAGTGGTATGGAAAGGGGAAAGGGGGAGAAGAAATCTGTGCTGCCAACTAATAGCTCTACAGGAGTGTTGCTAAAATTAGTACACTCCCAATACCAATAAATAATATTTTGTCTCCTAGGCAAATACATCCTCCCATTTGCTAAACATAACTGTTCCAAGAAAGAAAGAAAGAAAGAAAGTCTGTTGCCTAAAACTACCTGATAATCAGCACATAGAAAATTGTTGCTAAATAAATCCAGATTCTCAGAATTATATCTCATGTGATGCCAAATGTGTTTTAGACGTATCTAAATGATCCTCAATCCAACATTTACTTGATAGTCTGAACTGAAGGATTGCAGATTTTCTTTGTCCAAAACTGTGTTAAAGTTAATTTGGCTACTAGTTGACACTCCATCAATTGAAAGTACAGCAGCTTTCCAAAGTGCTCAGGTTACCATGCTTTGAATATATGTATAAATTCGAATATAAGTAAACCAGGTTCAAAACTAAACCCAAATTAATACTGTCATCAATCCAAGGAGGAGGAAGCCCTAAATAATAGGGCACTTAACACATAGTAACCGCCAATGAATAAACATGATAGCTGCAGGGAAACCCTTCCTTCCTTTGAATCCCTGTAATACATTTGTAGTAGAATTGCATTTCATGATTTAAAACATCTAAAAAGTCCCACAAGAATAATAAGATGAAATGGCATCATGGGTTGAGGTTGATCATGTTACTTTCAAAATCTGCTAAAGCAAATTCTAAAAGTTGGATGTTCACAAAGTTATTTTCTTTGCCAAAGTTAAATGCTAGTGACATGGTTTTGAATGGGTGTTTTGTTCCTTAGACAGATATCTAACTTCTCTGTGCAGATTCATCAGTAATATTTTCTATACCATTAAAAATAATAAACATGATGACATCAGTAGGAAATCTGAGAAATTTATTTTGATTAATTTTTGTGGCTTGTGAAAGTCAGGAATATGACTCAGAATTTGCAGTACACTAGAACATTTTTTTTACTGTTGCAGTATCTGGTTTAGAAGAAATCTTGCTGAAATCTTTCTTAGAAATTGGCTTAGGCTTTCTGAATGTAATCTTGGTCCAGAATCCAGTATGGCTTGTTATTTTTGTGTAGACCATGCCTTTAAATGTTTCCTTTGACACTTTTATTTAAGGTCTTACGTAATGATAAACACAATGAAGAAAACAGCCAATATGTATCCTTGGACCTCATCACCTTGGGCTCCACTTCCATCGTAGGACACTTCCAGGACAGAGCTCACCAGAGCTCATCACATAATGCAGGGCTACTTCTGGTGGGGTTCCATTCTGGAAACATCCTAGGACAGTCTTGAGAACATGGGAGATTTCCCATGTTCTCATTGCATAGAACATGCAATGCATAGAACATGCAATAGGACAGCATGGGGGGAAGCTGGATAGTGATGCCTTCCCACATGTTATGGGGAAAGCAGT